TGTAATAAGTTTCTGATAGGTTAAAATCTTAATATCTAATTCCTGTTCCTCTATTGTGCTCAGGCCCTTATACGCTGATTGATGAAAAGCCGGTTGTGGGAGTAAAATTTACCCCCACAATTGGCTTTTCACCAATCAGCTCTCAGTGTCAAAGCGCCAGTAAGCCCGGATCCTCATACGGGCAACAGCGCTTCGACACAGAGCTCTGATTGGTGAAAAGCCGGTTGTGAGAGTAAAATTTACTCCCATCACCCGTTTTTCACCAATCAGCATTCGGTGTCAAAGCGCTGTTGCCCGTATGAGGATCCGGGCTAATGGTAACGGTGAGTAAATACTGGTATCGTATGCATGCACTATCCCATTCGAACGGTGAGTGAAACGTGGTATTGGAGAAAACGAAGAGAAATCTCAATTAATCCAAAAAATTTCATTTTCACTAATTTCAGGTAAATTGTATGTACAAATTAATCTATCTGTAAAAGTTTAAAAAAATGGAGATACCATCTAAAAATGGAGATACCACCTCTCAACATGAACGAAACACTAACCAAAAATTGAATAATTTAACATTAATTGATGAAACAACAAATAAAAAATATGTCATAAAAGTACCAATGGAAGTGTATGACCGTGCTCATAATGGTATAATTATAATAATAATTCATATTTTAACAATAGCAGTACTTAACATAATATTTATGTTATAAAAAAATGATAGTTATTGGGATAATTTCCTTCTTATGCGTCTTTGACTGCGTTCAGTAGAAAAAGCAGCTTTGCAACTGTTGTAAAATTCTTTAATATGATTGATCTTGCCCTTAGTTCCTCACTGGATCTAAATATATAAACTAGTCATATCTAAGAATTTTACAACAGTTACAAAGCTGCTTCTTTGCTGAACGTAGCCATTATATTATTATTACTCTCTTTTTTTTACAGACTTGATATTTGCTACTACGTTATTACAAAATGCGAAATTATTACTCAATTCTAAAGGTACACATAATCCTATTCCACCAACAAATATGATGGCAAATAATATTAGTAAACCTAGTTGTTCAAATGTAACAAGGAAGATCGTTAGTAATGACACTGTTGAAAATATACTTCGTGATAATATTATTTCCGACACTGAAGACATTTCAGATAATAAATGGCTATCATCAGGAAAATACTTTGGAGTGCAATATTGTTGAATTCCAGAATAACGAAATACGCGCATATCATGAACACATCCTGGCATTCCAGCAAATACATGAATAAACTATAAATCACTTTTACATA